TCCTAGGATCCCTCTGCGCTATGGAAATTGATCCCAAAAATATGTGGTATAGTGCGGGTCCGCAAATTCAGCGCCCCGCCTCAAACGGCAGGAGACGGCGGCCTTGAACGCAAAGCTCCGACGGATCTGCACGCCCAAGGGGTCCTCGGGCCGTTTGGATGTGACCCAAGAAGTCTTTTCGGCTTGGAAGCAAAAAGGGACATCCCGAGAGAAACTTGTGGAGATTTTGCGTGACTGTGGTGGGGACAAGGCGGGGGGGGGGGGGGTATATGTATGGTTTTGTCCCTAGCTGAACTTATGGATCTATATATATATATATACAAAATTGTTTTTTGGTTTGGAGAACAAACACATGGTTATTGTTTGACCATTGGACATGTTAGAAATTATCTGCCCTGAAGGCTCAGTTCCTCAAGGTTGTCACCAAGCGCTACAAGAAGACTCGAAAGGGGTCTTTCAAAGTAAAAGCCGGGTTTTACACAAAGGAGCAAATGCAGAAGACCCTGTTTTATGGACCGCCTGATGCTCAGAGTTTTCCCATGTTTGGGGAAGGAACCCTTTGATTTGCAAGGTGTTTACCCCATGTTTGTCAGCCCCCCTGCTATGGCCTAAGGAAAAGAATCGCTGCCATTGAGAAGTATTGCAAAAACAGCAAAAGGAAGGCAACCCACACTCGCAAGGACAAGTACGAAAAGAACTTGACATACTTTTGGGTCGAAGATTCCATGACAGGGGAATTTGAGCACTGTGAAGAAGAAAACTACGAGGAGGAAAGCAGCAACCTCGTGAGCGGCAAGGTGCAAGGGTTCAAACCGTTCAAGGCTGATGTGCCAATTGCCCTGGAGAGAAATGGATCTGCCGCCAGTGCTTCTGCTAGTGGGGACTCTGACGTGGGGTCCGAACACAGTGATGAGGGGCATGCCAAAGCCAGCAAAAGGAAAGCGGGCAAGCGTGATGGCAAAGCCAACAAAGTGTCAAAACCGAAAAAAGAAGAATCGGAAGGTGAGCCTGAAGTTGAGGAGCGGTGTCGTGCACACACACAACGTCTTCCCATGTGTTCTGCTTCAAGCGGGTCACAATCAATGTTTGAGTCTTAAACCCCAACTACCCAATCACACAGTTGCGCGCGTAGCCCGTTGGTACCCCAGGACCCGGAGCACATTCCGAAGATCCTGGACGAGCTGCTGAAGGAGCAATCGAAGATGGCTGTCCTGGAGAGCAGGCTGCAAGAACTCAACTCAGCTGATGCCAAAAAGCCTAGACCCCAGATTCTTGAGTGGGGCTTGATCTTTCTCATGTGGATTTCAGTGTTCACATATATATCACAAAATGTTTCCCAGGGCTTTGGATGACATCGTGCAACTCAAGCTGAAGATTCTGAAGATTCACGATGATGTTGCGGAAATCAAATCGGAGATGGATTCCTGCCGCAACCCATCTCCCCAGCCATGAGCCCGGTGTTGCTACTGTCCTTGTTGAGCTTTTGTCGCCTTTGTCTCACTGTGGCCTGACGCCGCTCTCAGGCTGCAGGGCAAATTGCGCGAAAAGCTGAAGGATATGGACAAAACGCAGGGCGCTCAAGCTTGAGAGGCAAGCGTCGCTGAAGACATGTTTGTTTCTTTTTTACAAAGGGGGCATTCTTGTTGGAGTGTCACTTGATGAGATAATACTAGCCCTTGCAGCGTCACTTGGTTTCTTGGGTGTTGTGTTGGGGTTGGGAAGCAATGTTTCCTTCCAAACGCGTCCAAGGTGCAGCCGAGCCAACGTGGAAGCCAACAAGGTGAAGAAGCTGGGGACTTGTATGTTTAGTGTTAGCTTCATTCCTTTGATGCGTTCTGCCGGCCCTGCTGAGGACCATATTGAAAAAGCTTAAGGCAAGTCAGCCGAATACGGGTGGCAAGGGCAACAAAGGAAAGGACAACAAAGACAAGCGACAGCAGAAGCCGAAGAAAGAGAACAAGGGGAAGAAAGAGAAGAAACGGGCGGCCAAAGATGAGTGAGCGATTTGGGGGTGCATTGGCCGCTGCCAAGTGGCCTAGTGCTTGGGGTTTGACATGCCAGCCTCTGCTCACCCAGTTTGCTGTGGCCTGTCAAGCCATTGTAGCATAGCGCTGGGGTGCTTAGTGGGCTGCGTACGCATGTGGATTTAGACTCATTTTGCAACCAAAGGGCCAATCATCACGGTAGCACGCCGGCCTCAAAAGTGTAAACGTATGTGCAGAATCACTTTAAAGTTGATGGTTTGGTGGCTTCCGTGCTTGGCCATTTAGGTTTGGAAATTGCAACGCACGATTTCGGATGAGGGGAAAAAACATTGACTCCATGCGAGTGCTCCGCCTTGCAGAGCTTACCTTGTCTCACTGCCTACCTCATGAAAACACTGCCCACTTTCCCCGCCTCGCAGGTGCATCTACTTCGCAGTCGTCATCGGCTCGGCCAGACCTCGGACCGATCGGGAAGGTTGTGGCCGAGGCTGTGGGGTTCGGCGTTTCCTAGCTGAGCTCCTGCAAGCAAACCTTTTTGTTCTGATTTTTCAAGTGGACGCATTTCACAAGGGGAACGGTCCATGGATTTTGTGTATTAAAAGAAACAGTCCAGGTTCCCGACCGACTAGCCTGCAAAATTGGTGCAGCCTTCCTGGAGGAGCATGAGGATGCCTGTGGTAAGAAGTTCAAGGGAAAGCTGAAGGTCAAGAGCAACTCCCTCTTGCAACGAATGAAGCGGTTGAGGCGTACCAAGAAGGAATCTGATGCCTCCCTGCTGGAAAAGGAGAACCTGCAAGTTCGTTGCGAGATTAGCATGATTGACGTTGGTGTGATGCATCCAGTGCTACATCTTCGAGATTTTCTTTGCATGCTGGCTAGTGAAAACCGTTTGGATCTGCTAACCGGCGGGCATGGATTTGCTTCATGTAGTACGTTCTGGGAGCGCTACAAAGACGAAGACCCGACACATCCCTGCTACAGAGTGCACCCCCATCGGCTCCATTCGGTGGTGCCAATGTATGTCTACGGAGACGAAGGGACATCCAAAAAGAAATCCCAAATTTTGGTTTTGGCAATGCAACCAGTGATTGGAAAGGGGACATCTATGAGCGAAACAAGGTCCGGTACGGAATTGGGGGTCAACATGTTGGGTGTGAGCTACACGACCCGCTTTGTGTACTCTGTTATGAAAGCAGGGCTCTATGCGAAGAAACCGTCAAGATTCACCAAGCTTACAGAGGCCTTGTCCAAGGAGTGCCAGGAGCTGTTCTTCAATGGTCTTGCTTTGCCCTATCAGGGCGCCATGATCACAATATTCCCTTGTGTGATTGCATGTAAGGGAGATTGGCCCATGTTGAAACGAGCTGGTAATCTCACACGCACCCACCACGGATCCAAGGCCAGTGCCTCGGGCGCCGGCAAAGGGATCTGCCACCTATGCATGGGTGGCGCTGCAGGTTTCGAAGATTGGCATGATATCAATGGGAGTTGGGTGAACACCATCGCTTCAGCAGACTTGCCCTGGTCATCAGAAAGCCCATTGACTGGCAACATTCCCCAAAGCTTGGATATGAGACCGTGGTTCTACAGACCGGACCTTTTCCACACCATGCACAAGGGAGCGATGGGTGAACTGACTGGCTCTGCCATCGCTTCTAGGCTAGTATTGGCAGGCATGTTTTTCAAACCCTATACTTAGATTAAAGCCGCCGCTGCCCGCCTCTCCACCTGCAGCTGAGGTCACCCTCCTGGACTTGAGCCTCATCGGTGCAGCAGGTGATGTGCCGGTCCGGCTCAACATCGTGTATCTGGAGATGAAAGAGTTTTGCCGAACCCACAAAATCCCTTTACACATGAACTCACTGACCCGTGCTCTGTTGGCGTTCTACCAGGATGGCGATTTCCCTTGTGGGAACCTAAGCTGCAAGTCTAAGTGTTGTCACGCCCTCACAGGATTACATGTGTTGTTTTTGTTTGTCTATATTTTTGATTTAATGTTGCATGTAGTCTTGGGGGTTGTATGGTGTTGGAGCATTGCTCAGGAAATGGTTTAAAGGTGCAGACACCACAGCTGCAGCGATTTTCTTGGAATCGAAGTATTCCGACTTGCTTTCCGAGTATCAAGGGCCCCACCGGTCCTACCTCAAGAGTATCCATGATGCACTTCGAGCTGGAAACGGGTTCATGAGACGCTTGTACCATGGACATCTGTTTCTGAGACGAGCGGAGGCTCGCCATATTTCAGAGCAGGGCCGAGAACTGGTTACCAACTATCTAGATGCTGCTTCTGAGGCACATCGGCTCCGCCTCTGCAGATTCAAGCTGACCCCAAAGCTGCACATTCTTATGCACATCATCTTTCGGTTGGAGAATAAAGACCAAAAGTACACGCTATCCCCAGTCTCTTATGGGTGCCAAATGGACGAAGACCTGGTGGGAAAAGTGTCCATCATATCAAGAGGCGTTTCTTTCAGAGCGGTTCACATTCGAACGCTTCGCCGTTACCTTGTGAATCTACGTGTCCACCTCTAGGTGTCACACTCCTGAGCTCACGGCCGGCGCCGGGCATATCGAGATGGAAAATGGCGATCGGTTGAGCCAAAGAGGTGGTCGGTGTAAACCATGCTCGAAAGTTGAGTTTTGGCAGTTGCAGGGTTTGGAGTGGCGTGTTTTGGCCTTAAAACCTGCAACAGTGGCAAGTTGCAGCTTTTTTCCTGCAACTTGGATTTCAAGGACCTCCATATTTCCATGTTTATTCGGGTAATTTGAGATGGCTGTGTCAAAAACAATGGGATCCCATTTTGGTTGGTAGGTGAATTCACCACCCATTTTAGGCTTCCTATTTCAGTGAGTTGGATTGAATCGGATGTTCACTGGGGGATAACCGGCTTTGGATTTGACCCATAAATGAGCATCCTCCAAAACTTTTGTAATATCTAAGGGTGGGCGAAGCATGGAACAGATTCATAAATGTTGCTTTGGATATTGAAACGCCGGCGATCCACGTCGGGCTGCTGCTCTCCGCCGTCCAGGCGTCCGTGGATCTTTGACCTTCAGCCTCGGAGCCGTGCCTAAAGTGAGAACCCCCATGGACACCTGGAAGCCATCCATTTCAAGAAACAAAAAATGGGAGGCATAGAGAACCCAGGATGGATGGAAGCTATCCCCATTTTTGCAAGACGCCTATTTTGAGAGCCCGGAATTGTCCCTGAGCCGAGCCTGAGTTGATTAGAAAGAGTGACCGCGGCCTCTGACTCCAAAGAAACCGGTGCGCCCTAGCTTAACATGGAAATTAAAGGGCCTTTGAAAGCAAATCCTTCAGCACACAGAGTTTGTTAGAGTGCCTGCCGCTAAACAACTGGGTGCAGGATCATTAGCTGTTGGGGCCTTGCGTTTGACCCTAGGACAGAGAAATCAAAGGTCAAACTCGAAATCCTTTGCTCGAATCACGGGTTAGAACGGGCAAGCTGCAAGCTACGTACACCAAAACGACAACTGAACACGAAAGGACAGGATTCAACTCGTCAACTCGTTCCGCAAGGTCAAAGAGGATGCTGGCAAAAGGGCAAAGCACCCCTGTTTTTCTGGTCACGACCCCGTGTAAGAAGTTCAACGTCTTTCTCCCGCATCGTCATGGTCTGTTGGGGCCGAATAGACAATAGAAGGTCGATGAAATGAAACTGCCACGCTCCAAGCGCCTTTCGCTTGCAGAGTTACAAACTCCGGACTCTTCGCGCGCATGGGACAAATATGGCCATGGGTCATAACCTATGTCTCCATTTTGGGGCGGTTGAATACCCATGTGCCGCTTCACCAGGGGTACAGTGTTTTTGACCCAGGGCCACAGAAAACCGGTCAGGTGAAAGTGACTGAAAGTGGTTGGAATGTGGCTTGGTCAAAGCAAAGATCAAGCAAGGGCCATGGACCCCTCAACAAATGCACGTGCTTTTTCGTTTAGATGATGGAGTAGCTAAACCTCGTTCAAACAATACCTTCAAACTGTGGGGAATTTTGGGAATGTCGTTTTTGAAGCTGCCCCTGTTGGGTTGTTTTGATTCGGACACCCGCTCATTGTGGTCGCACCGGCCGAGCGAAGACAAAGCCATTCAGGTTTGTCAAGAAGTGTTCCCAAAAGCCAAGGGTAGCAACATGGCCTGGCCCGTATTGGAAACCAAAGGAAGCCTAAGTGTTCTATCCGTGAAGTGTGCTACTCCTTTCAGGCAGGATCTAAGATGGTTTCCACTACCAATCCAATAGCCACCACTAAGCTTCACGTATCCGAGTTTTGATCGCGTCACATGTTCTCAAGTTAAGAGTACAACTACAACCTCCGGTGGCTACGGGAGGGGAAGGCCACCCTTTCCAGCCGGGGGAAACCCCATTCCAAAAATGGGAACGGGGCACCGAGCTGCCAAACCGCCAGACTAGTGGGTTGATGGCTGGGAACGAAGGTTTGGTGGTTCAAACGTGGAAATCAAAAGGCGACATGTGGGTCTTTCGAAGGTAGGCTTGAACCGAGGGGGTGGTTGATTTCAGGGAGCTTCTGGAAATGTCTACCGAACATCAAATGAAACCCTTCCGGAGCTCCATGAGAATTTTGCCTTCCCCAAAATCAAGCGGCAAGCACAAGGCGATGTTTTCACCGAATGTGCCAGGCTCAAAACTCCGATTGCTTGGCCGATTGGGTCATGGCTCCCTGAACAGGAATCATTGTAATGGTTTTGGATGACCATCCTTTAGTGAGCCTGGTTGAAGGAACCCCCGCAAAAAGGTCTTACAGCGAGTGGCTGGCAACTCAGTGATAGATTCCCTTCAGAACCAACAGAGGAAAAGAGCAAATCTTCATTCACCAAGTGGAAGGCTATAACCGGGAAAAGTACAAAGTTGCCACAATTCTAAGCATCCGAAGTTGTGTCAAACCCGGGTGCCGCTTGCTGATTCGGACAGGTCGGCCTTGCCATCGAGCGGCAGGTTGGGACGATCCCCGGGCAGCTGGTCACCGATGAAGGGCCCATAGAAGGCCTGGCAGGAACCTTCCCAAAGGACCAGCCTCCTCGGTGGCGAAATCTGCGAAGCCCTGCACCAGCTTTTAGTGGTTTAGTACGGAAAACTCAAATTCGTTGGCAAAAAGTTAAAGTCCTAGCAGCCAAGCAAAATGCACCAAAGCTACTGGATGGTTGCGAAATCCGTTCGTACCACTTTGAAACCAAGGGAAACCATAACGTTTGTTGGTATTTACAGGCCAATCATCATTCGAGGGTTTCTTCGGTGGTGCGAAATGGATAGTACTTAAAAAGGGGCAGTGTTCTTAGTAAGTGGCTAGTAAGCCTGGTGATTTCCCACTGAAGGGAGACCTATAACCGTGGTAAGGGGACTCAAACCATGGCTATTAACCACTTACTTTAAGTAGTGAATATTGGTTGCTGGTAATCTCTTCCCCCAATCAGCAAGGTCTCCCTCATGTAAAATCAAACACGTTTTCAAAACGCCACCATGCAGGCCCAATATTGAACTAGAACAGGGCAGTTCTAAACCAATGCAAACCAGCGACTTCTCCCATCGACCTCTCCTCCGGTCGTGTTGGGGGACCCTGAGCCCTCTTTCAGCAAACACTACTGTTGAAAGAAAAACAAGAAAACGGAGACCCTATTTGAGCTGATTAGATTCTTTCCTTACATAACCGGACCGATCCTTTTGAGCGCCCGTTTCACCCGAGCTCAGCTGTGGTTCTACCAACATAGCTACAAAGGTTCGCATAGGTGTTACGATAACCATCATACGACCAGGTAGTAGAAGCACTTACTCACATGACCGATGGGATTTTGGCCTCTCGTTGGCCTCACAGCTTTTGAGAGGTGAAGCAGCGCGAAACTTTTGTCTTCGTCGCATGGCAAGTAAGTCAACTGGGCAGCACCCAAACCCAAAGACTGCCGGTTGTAGCAAAACTGTTTAAACGGTTTAAAGCCATCATCATGCCAACGAAAGGGAGCAAAACCATTTGCACTTATCCGGAACCCGCCAAAGGCTTAGGCTGTCTGGCCATGTGAGTGGGAGGGCATCAAGCTCGTTAAGTGGATGCTAAGTGGATAACATCCAGTTTATACCCTTTGTTCTAGGGGGTTGGTTGCACATTCTTTTCAACCATCGTTCTTTCCAAAAACCGGCCGTTTTCCCCAGGTTTCCGGAGCTTTTCTAGAAAGAAGGATCCCTGGAAAGAATGGGGAAGGACCCCCGTAACCATGCGACCAAGTAGAAGCTCTTTTACACTTTTCGTGGGGTATGTCAGAAGCCCAACTCTAAACTCTAACAGCCTATGGCACGGGAAAAGAACTGTCAGGGGTTTTGGGACTCTTCTCAGGCAGTCCCCGCCTGGGTTAAACAACCAGACCTTTTTGAAAACCCAAGGAGATAGCTTTTTGGATTATTCGTGCCAAATACGCTCTATGATTCACAAACCGGGAAAAGCTCGTTATACCCCCAAATCCTTGTGAGTTCGTACAATTTGTCCATAATCATGCTTCAAACATATAGCTTTCAGTGGCCCTAGAAAAACATGGAACCCCTTTTTGTTGGTTGACCACTTCAGGGGCAGCAACCACAGGAAAGGGGATTCGGGAGACATCCATTCAACTGGATCAGGTTCTCTCCGGCCTTCCAGATGCCCTTGAGCTGCAAACAGCAGCCTTGCAAGCAAGAGTCCCTGCTCGGCATCGCCTTAGATTGGCGGAGGCAGGGGGGCGGGAAACCTCCTGCGAAGGCAACTGGCTAGTGTTCAAAGGCCCTCAGCCACTGAAAGGCCGCATGGCCATGGTCAAAATCCAAATCGTACCCCCAGTAAACATCCGATTCAATCCAACCACTAAAATAGGTTCTAAAATGGGTGGTGAATTCACCTACCAACCAAAATGGTACCATTGGTGTTGACCCGCACGCACATGTGTTAAGCGCCTTGGTTGCTTCCGGCGAAAGAAAAGCAACTCACCGCCTTTGGCCACTCCAATTCAAGGGAATCGGGACTTTTCCCGCCGAGGGCAAGTTGGAGCAGTTCAAAAAAGGGGCCAAGCAACAGCGCCACACCAAGGGTCCCTGCAAACAAGTCCACGTTTTGCACCGGCAAATGTGAAAATGCATACACATGAACAGGGATCCTTACATTATACAGCTGAACATTGCCTTGCAAATGGTGGCTTCCTTTCATTTTGGTGGAAAAAAACATGTTTCAATTGGGCAAAGCCCTGATGAAGCAGTCCCAAGACGGTTTACGTCGAAAGCGCCTTCGCGCCAAACAACAGGTACCATACCCCAAAATTGGCCGCATGGAAAGAAGTTCGGCACAGAAAAAGATCCTCGGCAAAGGCGAGGGAACAATGAGTGGTGTGAATTGGGATAAAAACCGCTCAGAGCAGGCCAGAGCCGCAAACAAAAAATAGAAACAGGCAAAAGCTGCGCTAGTTTAACAGCACTAATGGCCTCGATGCCATAGCCGAACACGAGGTCCGAAAGGCACGTGGTTATGGTACATCATCCCAGACCGGCCAAAAAAACACTCTCTTTTTTCTGCCGCACCAATTTGTGGGTTCCCTTTGCTTTGCGTTTCAACCGGCCCTTCTCGGGCATCCTCAAACAAAAAGGGTCCACGAGACCCGAGCGCCCGTCTCATGAAGTCTGCACAGCCGCCGAAGGCTTCCTGGAGGGCACCGGCTCGGAGTGGCCGCTGATCTGCCAAAGCACCTCACGGGATCCCCGGCCAAGAAGGAGCTGCTGCTCGTGGAATGAGGTCATTGACCTCCATCAATCCCAGCGGTTTCCCTTTAAGGAGACCCCTGAAACCTGGGGCGAGAGATGGAGTGAGAAATGGAATGACCGTCAAGCCCTGGTTTCCCTTTAAGGGGACCAAAGCCTGGGCTAGCGCACCAGCAAGGTGGTGGGAACGCCGGATCCAGAAGCCCCTGGATGATTAATTTGGATCCGGGGGTGTCCCTTTGCTTTTGGCAGTTCAGATCGCCTTCAGAGGGGAACATCCCCCTAGCTTGTTGGACAGGGTTACTAATCCGTGTCGACACTGCTGAAGGTTCCACTACGCTGAAACCCAAGAAAAGTAGGGTGTGTACAACCACATAGATACTAAAGGTTCTTTACCAACCGCTTTGGTTCCCTGTTTGGAACGCAAATTCACAAACCGCACCAGTTGGGGATTGGTGGTGGTTTATCCCAGTGCTTTCTCCATCCCAGGTAGAGGATGTCCACCTGAACAAAATCCTCCGGCCGATTTTGCGGTTGATGTTCAAAGGAAACTCGCGCAAAAGAAGGAGTCCGACCCCTTATGAATACCCCCCTGTTTATGAATATGGGGCTGTCCGATTCTGGTTCTAGTGAGAAATGAGACCACTTTTATGCAGGGGTTTCATGTGGGGTCAACTAGGTCCTCTAGTAGAGAGGTTAGAATAAGGGTACCCAATTTTCTGTAGGCTAATTTTGTAGGGGAACCCTCCCCCCAAAAAAGGATAAAAGGGCACCACTGTACCTAGAGATTCTTTACAAGGTTTGTGGCTTCCGTTGCTGACACCTCTCCACTAGACCAGGCATCTAAGGAGGCGATCCTGGCGGTACAACAGGGAAGTGACTGATAAGGCTGCCTCAGGGAGACCGTCAATGCTAACCCCGGATAAATTTGCCCCTGGTTAATTCACAGGGGGAGTGTCCCCGTTGAAAATCCTTCATGGGCCCACCCTACTAGGATTGGATTGATCTGGGGGTCCAGTCCTACCCAAAAGTTCCGAAGTCAGCCTCGTTCGCCTGCCTGGAGTAAGGCAATGCCGTCGCCGATGGAATGGTCAAAGACCATGACGAGCAAATGTCTGCCTCGCGATTTCTGCGGTTTCCTCTCCAAATTCACCCCGCCAGGGCCAAATACCTTGCGTGGCCCACTTTCGGCTGTTTTGCAACGGTGGGGGGGTTGGCTCATCTCCATTTGCAGCAGTGATAGATTCCCTTTAAAACCAACAAGGCAACATAAAACATATTCTTAAGCACATGGAAGTCATGTATCAAACGCCTAGAGTTGCAGAACGTTTTCGTCCAATGCGAATGGACCGCGCCCGTTCCTCGTGCATGAATCCAAATTTGCCCGCGGCTTTTCAGATCTGCCGGGGTTGTGCTGCGTGCGGCCTAGCGCCTTAACTTCATCATGGTTGACGTTGGAAGGGGAGCAAACATAAAATAGCAGTTAAATGAGGATTTGCCACTAAACCACAATAAGCAAAAATGCAAAATGTGTCCCAACAACAACCATGCTATGCTCCTTATCTGGGCTGTCCTCAGATCCCCTGCTAAAAGCTTACTTCTAGCGGGTTGAATGGGAAACCGCCACTAAAAATCATAAACAACTACAAAGCTACTAGGATTTCCACCCCTATCTGTGGCCTCCGAAATGAGCTTCATGTTTAGGGTAACAGGGTGCGCTGTGAAGCGGCTCACGCGGCTAAGAAACTATCGTCACTCAGGCGCCGAGCTGCCATCGTAAAGGTTGTTTACCACCTGGGAGAGCAATGGAAGGCAACTCGGGCGGTCCCTTCCCACCTTCCCCCGGGAAAGATGGCCCCCCTCACAAAAGTGCCATAAGGGAAGCCAGAGCCGCAACGAATCATACGATAGTTGGGTGGTCTTGGTGAGGGATCCCTTATGTGGGTGTCAAAAATAGGTACCCAAAATGGAACCCTGGTAAAAGGAAACAATGACTACAACCTGCGGTCCCCTGGAGGGTAAATTTTGACCCATACCCATGTCATGCTGTCTCAAGTGTTCACCCCCCGACAGCTTTGGTAACAGCAATACAAGCCGGGCAAGGGGCGCCGTTGATTGCGGGAACGGATTCTCACCTCCAGCAGCGCAAGATGACCATGCTCTGGTGTAAAAGCCTGTCCCAAACCAGCCCAACTTGGTTTTTACATTGTTTCTTTCTGGTTTTTTGTCTTCCTCGAATAGCAAGTACTTCACCTTTAAAACCTTCTGCTTGTCATCTGAGTAACTAGCTGAGGCGACCCATACTTATTGGGAACCAGTTCTCCCGGCACCCACTTTCCAGCCGTGAAAATCAAATCGCTCATTTACTTTGTGACCGGGATTCTTTGCTGATGATCACCGGAGCCTCTTTGTCTGAAAATTCGCTTCCGAGCAGGTTTGTTAATATTTGTAGGCACATATGGGTGTGTCACATTTTTTGGGGTATCCTTTCTAGGGTTGGCCTTTTAAAGGGAAGCCGAAAGGTCATCATTTTTGGGTACCCTTATTTTGAGACACATGTTGTTGGTTTCCCTTTAAAGGGGGCTAGGAGCTGGTTGTTTTAAATACTTTTTTCGCCCAACCTGGTGGATTTAGGGGGGAATGTTCCCCAAAGAAAGTGATCAACCGCTTGATTCGCCCTGGGTTCCCATAGGTAGCTCTCCACCAGCCTCGGGAGGCTAGTCCAAAGACCAGCCCAACGGAAAATGCGAAGCTCTTCGCATATGGGGCACTCGATACACCAAAACTGTTTGCCGAAACTCGTAAAGCCATTCTCTAATGTTGCTTGCCACGTACATGACAGCGGACCAACAAACAGTCCTTGTTTTGGGATTCTTCCCCTCCAAAAGTATCAAAAAGGTGATGCACCCTGCTCATGACCCAGGTGCTTGGTTCAACCCGAGGTTTCCATGGATCAACCTTGAAAACAGCTATGCTCTCCGAGCCCTTTCCGGCGAAGGGCGTGGGCGCGCCAGAGCGGCAAGTCGGGGTCCCACCTGGCCGTGTAGAAATCCATGACGAAGTTCTCCACCGCCCCCTCGCCCTGCGGATCGAATCGGAGAGAGCAGGCACGGACGGGGAGTATTCGCGGAACCCAGCTTGGTGTTGCCGGCAATGATTGCTGCACCCCCCAATCGGTTGATCAATCAGCCCCTGGCTGGTTACTTCTGTTTGATAGATTCCCTTTACAACATATATATATATATACATATATTTATATATACACATATATATATATGCAATTCAGCAAATGGAAGATTAACCGGGGGTGTCACATTTAAAATTCCTTTGGAGGGCCCTTCTTTGGGGACGTCAAACAACTTGGGACCAAGAAGCAAAAGGCATCTTCTTGACCAACCCTTTGGGAACTGAACTGTTTGGATGCTTCGGATCCAATCGACAAAGAATAGAGGTCTGGGAAAAAAATCTGAGCTATGCCCATCCATCTCCTTTGGTTATCTTTTTAGGTTTTGGCACCCAGATGTATACAAAAAAAAAAAAAACAACATGTGGAGTGACCTATGAACGGGCAGAATCGATGGCTTCCCGGCTTGGGAAACATGGATGGGGGGATGGGCCCCTGATTGGCCTGGCAATTTTTGTTGCCGCCTAGATCCTGGTGGACGCTCAACCTGGGCGTGTTCGTTTCACAAGTACTTTCCTTGTTCGTTTCAGGGTAAACATGTCTCAGGTCTCAAGCGTTGACTTGGAGCGGATTCTGAGACAGCCCGCCTTGCAATGCCACGCAAGCAAGCCACACGAACCACAGACTGGTCACTCTGACAATAGGAATCCTCATGGTTGCCCACATTCCCTAACAGGTCCAGGGAAAAGGGAGGGGAGGGGGAGGGAGCCCCTTTAAGCCCCTATTAAGCCCTTAATAAGGCCTTATTTGGGGCTTATTTGAGCTCCCTCCCCCTCCCCTCCCTCCCATGAATGTATGTTCTAAGACCCCGCAGTTCCATTCCTGGCCCCAGCTAACACCTCAAGACCAGTCCATTTCCCAATAGAAATCCCACTGGGTTTCTTCCATTTGCGAATACGTCCCCTGGGAAAAAATGAGAACATTTGTCCAGTAGTGAACTCGATTCCATTCAAAACCAACAAGATAAATAATTATGCTCAGCAAATGAAATGCTCTGGTCTGGGTTCAAAAATGGGTGCTCACCAGAAGGCTGTTACGCAGGTTTCAGTCTTTGGCTCCAGCCAAATGGAACCAGCTGCACCTTGAGGTCCTCGCGCACGGTCACCAGACTGTCCAGTGCCTGGCTTGGGCGTCAAGCCAAAACCGGGGAAGCTTTCATGGGCCTTCCATGACGAAGACCTAGGGCTAGAGGGGCACCAGTTACCAATTTCTTTGTTTTAGAGGGGCACAAGATACATGCAGTTTCTTGCTTCGTTGATTTTGAAGGAAACCCACAGCTTCTGGCTGGACACTTTGCGCAATGCAGCAGGTTTTGCCAGGGGACTAGCTGCACAAACGAATGCTTCCAAGCAAGAGCTATCCAGGTCCCCACCTTTGATGGCGCCCTCGTGATGGGGTTCGCGGATCTTTCGCGGTTTAGATCACCCACATGTCAGAGCGTAGAGCTACAAGAGCACACTTGGAGCAGTTACCCGCCAAGTACGGCATCGAACGTAGCCTTCCCAGGTTTTGTCATCTAAACGAGCAATCCACCAAAGCAACAGCTACCATAGAAGAGATAACAACTACGCAAAACGTCTGCAAAACAAACCACAAAAACTATTTTCGGACAAATCTCAACCAACACCGATGGTCAACGAATACTAGACTCCTAGAACCTTTAGAACAACTCCCACACGCATGCCTCGTACATTTGCAGGTTGCTCCCACCCCAAGAAAGGCCTAAGAACTTTGGCCCTTGAAGGGAAAACAGAAACCGCTTGCCAAGTTGCCCAAACAGTTCGGAGCAACTCTTAGCCACAAACAACGTTTCTAGTTTCCCTAGTGGGCCCCTGTCTTGTGGGATTGTTTTTGTACTCTCTTTTATTTTGGGGGGGGCGGCTTTCTAGTCCTCTCCAGACCCGCAATAGAACACCAGCATTGTCTATTGCTATGTGCTTTTCCTTCTTTTTTCGGGTCTCACTTTTAAGTCTCGGGTCTTCTGGGCTGTCTTTTCAGAGGCAACCCAAAATCCCTTGAATCGCCCTTCCAACCCAATCAAAAGCCCTCACCCAAAGCCAACCGAATAACTGGAACCGGAGCCATGGGTCGCTCATGTTCTCGGCGCAACTCGGGGCTCACCAGAAAATAGATTCACTGGGCTGTCCTCAAACCCCCCTGCTACAAAGTCTAACTATTACTTGGCTAAGTCGAGACTAACGCTAAACCCTAAAAACGCAAAAAAGAATAAGGAACCGGGAAACCGCCAAGTTCACAGTTGGTTTGGAGACCCCAATCTTTGTCACGGGCCTTCGCCCACTCCTCGTCATCCAGCCGCACGAACATGCTGGCTCTGCTCTCCTTGCCCTGCGGTTGCGTGCTGGTGTTGTTGTTTGTGGAGATGACACCGGAAAGACACCCCAAACAGTGTGGGGGGAGGTGTGCGCATAGGAAAGCGAATGATATATACCCTAAACATGTAGCGGGTGAGGCAACATGTAATTAAAACGGACCTCTTCACAGGACCCTCTCTGCGAAGGGCCAGCGCGAAATATCGATGGAAGGCCGTTAGCAGAATCTTTCCAGGATCTCTGCGCAAGATGTCTGGGCAGGGTCTCTGGTAAGATTTGTGCGAGGACCCATGAAAGGACCATTATATACAATTTCGCTGTTCAAGATCAAGATCACTTGGAGGGAAACCTTGCCAGGTCCTGCGACAGAGCTCTTTCAAGGATGATCCCTGTGAAGGACCACCGCAAGATATCTTCGGGTTTTACAGGATCTCTGCGCAAGATCTCTTGAAAACCTCTTGGGAAGATTTGTGTAGGATCTTTGGATAAGAACTCTAGAGGATCCATGACAGGCTCCTCTCTACATTGAAGCTCTCTGGCAGCATCCACAAGAGCATCTTGATTCACTTTTTGGAAACTTGCTCCGCGACACAGCCAGACCGACCCGAGCCACCTAATGTCCACAGAGGGTTTGCCTTCGATGTTCAACTTCGCACCATGCCACAATGAGAGCGATCCGACCCACGCAAAGTCAGCAGAAGGTTCGCTTGCGATGTTCAAAATTCGCACCGCGCCACAGCGAGAAGCACCGCGCCACAGCCAGAGCGATCCCAGCCACCAAGCGCGGAGGGTTCCCTTGCGATGCTCAAAATTCGCACCGTGGCACAGCCAGAGCGATCCCACGTCACCAATCAACCGATTTCGGATGTCGTACGGCACCGCAGCGCTCGTCCACACACTTTGCGCGAGCCTGCGCAGTCGACATGCATTTCAAGATTCTACAAAGCCGCGATTGTACAAAAGTACAACGAAACCTGCTCTGGCCCAGAGTGAGCGCCCTGATCTATCACCGGCCCTTTATCCTTATGCCGTAAGAACCCCTTAGTGTTGACACACCGTTTGTGGAAAACGCCCAACAGCCTCGGTTCCGGAACCCTCCGACAGCATCAAAAAGAGAGGAAATGAGAACGAGCAGGAGACGGTAAAGCAAAGAAAGAATCAGAAAGAGAGAGGGAGACAGAGACAAAAACAAAGGATACTGAGAAAAAAAGAAAGAGAAGGGAAAGTAAAAATGAAGACAAAGATAAAGAGAAAAGGAAAGAGAAAAGGCAAGAGAAACAGAAAGATAAGGATAAGGAGAAGCTAAAGAGAAAGAGAAAGAGTTAAAACAGAAAGAGAAAGAGAGACAGAGAGGGGGAAAAAGGAAGAGAGGGAGAGATAAATGTCAAACTACATGTCTCCTATACAGTTCTCACTCACCCATGTACATGCCTGTGGCCCTACTGGCTCCAGGGCCCTTGAGCATACCAGTCCTAGGGACTACAAAAAGGAGCCATACAGCGCCGCGCCAGTCAAGGCTACCTGAGGCCCTACTTGAGGTTCATTGGCCACTACACTTTGAGCTCTATTTTGACGTGGTAGCGGAGCTCTACAAGATCCTTCAGACCTTGACCTATCTACAGAAGAGTGTCTCTAAGATCCTGGTGAGCAAGGAGTACTACAAGCACGATGGCGCAATACAATGCAGCTACGTCAATCCACCAATACAAGCTACAGCCGCCTCTCTTCGATGGTAGCTACGGCAAGTACGAAGAATGGAGGAACAAGTTCATTGCCTACATGGCTCTGCAGCACTACGAGTATGTTCCACTTCTACATTCATCGGAAACAGCTACGGCACCACTGGATGAAACAGCCCTACGCGGAGCGGCTTCAGACCAAGAACAAGAAGAGCGCTACATGCAGATGTCCCAGGATCTCCGCTACATCCTGGTCAACATATGCTCAGGCGCTGCGAGTACGCTGGTGCTACAAGCAGGTGCCGCGTCAGGAATCTCTACCTTCGAGACCTTCCGGCGACTACATCTTCGGTACTCACTACCTTTGGGTACCAGATCGGTTGGCTACCTGACCCACCTACTCAAACCTAAGTTCGACGACAAGAACTTCGAGGAGACCTTCCTACGGTGGGAATACGATCTGGCACGATACGAGACGGACAATACGTCGGAGCTGCCTGACGGAGTGAAAATTGCTGTGCTGCTGAACGAGACTACCGGTGCCCTACAGCAGCATCTTCAGCTACGAGCAGGAACAGTTACGACCTACGAGGAGATGAGGTCCATTGTGATCCGAGCTACCTCAGCGGTGGCTAAACTGCAGTCACTACAACAAGTACAGTCTTCGGATGGACCTTCGCCCATGGACATTGGTGCCTACGGCTACGGCTACGGCAACAAAGGAAATAGCAAAGACAAAGGCAAAGGAAGTAAAGGAAAGGGCAAAGGCAAAGGAAAAGGCAAAGGAGGAAAAGGAAAAGGCTATGGAAATCAGAACTACTACAGGTTCAACCCAAAAGACAATACGGCAAAGGAAAGGACAAAGGAAAACACGACGGAAAAGGAAAGCCTACAAGAAAAGGCAAAGGAGTCCAATGCTACAAATGTGGCAGAGCAGGGCATTATGCACGAGACTGCAGAGTGCCAATCTACGGAATGAGCACAGCAGGAGAAGAACACGCTACACAGGCTGATGACTGGTGGACACAGAGTGATGCCTACGATCAGAATTGGCATTCCATCGAGTACAACCAGGATAACAACTATCAAGACCACGCATATGTCCAAAATGTCAGCCAGTCTACTCAGCGACCACAACCGCCAGCAACAAATAAACAGCTACAAGCATCTAGACCACCACAACTCTACCAGATTGGAGGCGTTCAGATGCACATCTTGTCCGTTGGTGCTACGTCGACTTCAATGGTGGATGATCTACTCTTCCCGGACGAGCAATCCTACCCAACACCTTGGATCTCGACATGCACTACAAGTTCACGGACCCCAGGACTTGACTACATCCTGTTTGACTCAGGAGCAGCTACTCATGTTTGTCCTAGAGACTACGCCAACCAATTTCCGTTAGAACTTAGAACCATGTGGAGCATCTACACCACGACTGTTCACTGTCACTAACGACGAGACACCACTCCACGGAGTCCGCAAGGTCCATGACAAGGGCGGCACCGAGGACCTAATGATTCCGTTCTACATCTGTGACGTCAAGTACCCCACCCTGTCGGTTACTAGACTACTTGTTCGAGGATTTCAATTACGACTCACTCCAGAAGCTACCACTCTGAGGAGTGACACCTTCCAAGCAGCACCACAGAGAGAAAGCAACCTTCTCCATTTGGCAGTTGAGCAGCAGAACTACCATCAAGGAACGGTGCTCTGTGCAGTACGCAAGGATGACGGACAAGTACGTGGACTAATCGAGCCTACATCTCAGACAAGTGATGGAGCACGATCTATCATGGGCGGCAACACTGACTACTGGCGCATCAGTGGAGACTACATCATCCGAGTCCACAAAAGGAAGCGTCGAGCGAAATTTACGCCTGAAGGCACTCAATGTCCTGTACCTACGGACCAACTTGACTCTTGGAGGAAGACTACTGTTCGCAGAACTGGTGAGGATGAGAAGCACTACTTCGACAACTACCCGGATGCGACCAAGAAGGAGAAGAATGAACTGGTACCAGGAGACCACTGGGTTGGTGAAACTACCTTCCGACGAAAGTCTGCAGCTACAGCATCTCCTCATCGCTCACAACCACCTGCTGCAGAATCGGGTGCTCCCGGATACGACATCACGTCCTACCAAGAACACGGATGTCACCACTGACGAGGTAGATCAGATCAAGGATGACTGGGATACCATCGCTGAGCAATCAGACCTGCCCTACACCTGGACAGGAATTACCATCTTTCACACCAAGGAGGACTACGCTGGAGATGTGCAATCAGGACTACCAGGACCAGATGCTGAGATACTTCAAGAAGCACTACCAGCACGAGGCAAGAGATCACCAACTACACCGTCTGACTACTAGATTGCCGAACATTGCCTCACACACCTACCCTACCGAAGTTGGTGTGAGATCTGCGTGAGATCCAAAGGAAAACAGGACGCCTACAAGAAGAATGTCTCCAGGCAGCCAGTCATACAGGTTGACTTTGCCTACTTCACCACCACGACGGATGCTGAATCGATGGCTGTGATGACGGCGGTTGACATACAGACCCAAATGTGTATGGCTGTCACTGTACCAGACACATCTACGCACATCGAGTACATGACCAACAGTCTTCGTTCCTTCGTCCTAGAGTGCGGACGTACAAACGGCATCCTGCATTCCGACAATGAGCCTACATTGAAGAGCGTGATCAACGCGACGGCAGCTAAGGTTGGCAACATGACTACTAGAACTGCACCAAACTACTCTTCAAACAGCCAAGGTTCAGTGGAAAGATTCCACCGTACGCTCTTTGGGCAAGTCAAAGCTCTACGTGACCAACTGCAATCCGTCTGCAAGGTGACGGTCAACAACAATCACCCACTACTACCTTGGATGGTGAGACATGCCGCCTGGATCCTCAATCGCTACTTGGTGCACTCCGATGGGCTCACGTCCTACCAGAGAAGATGGGAACGATCCTACAAGCATGCAATCTGCGAGTTTGGAGAACGCATACTCTACAGGACTCCTGCGAAGCGTCTACCAAAGGGAGATCTTGCACTACAAAAGGGAGTGTGGCTAGGCTTGGATGTCGACAGCGGCGAGTCTTTCATTGGAACTACTACAGTACTGGAGTGATTCGAGCCCGTACCATCAGACGACTACAGCCTGACTTCAAGTACGACCAGCACTTACTGGAACAAGTCACCGGTACCCCTTGGGCTCCAAAATCCAGAACTGCCTATGAGCCTAATTTCATACTACCGCCAACGATGGCACGACGAGGCAAACTACCACTACTGGTATGGGCACTGACCCTATGCCTGAATCAGTTGAACAAGAACAGCAGACTACTGAACAACCGGCGATGCTTGATCCCTCGGCATCTACTGCAACATCGTCACAACCTAAAGCACCGCTTCCTTCAGGTCCTATGGCAACGTCTCCTACCTCAACTCAACAATTTCTACCTCTTCCAACCAGTAGAAGATACGGCAACAAGACATACCAAGGCCATTAGGACCCATGGTCCAGATGCTACAGCAGGACAAGAGACTACCACGACGGAGACACCTACAAGGAGGAGAAGAATCAACATGATCTACTCCGTCACCAATGACGACCAGGAAGAGCAGGATACCATCACCCGACTACGAGATCCTGAGATCTACATCGACGAAGGCTACGACCAGGAGCTGATGAAAGAAGCCAAGCTACATGATGTCTACGAGGAAGTTTCTGTCGATGGTCTACCTCCTGAGACGATACGTGATGCCATTGATACAAGATGGGTCCACAAGTGCAAGACGCCTACACAAATGAGATCTAGGATAGTGGGAAAGGGCTACAACGAAAAGATTGACGACAGCGACAGCATCTATGCGTCTACTCCACTGTTCGTCATCCTTCGTCTACTCTTGATACTTGCGCTTGCTCCAGGTTGGAAGATACGCTTACAGCTTTTCTACATGCTCCCATCACCTCATTGTTCACCTACATATGTTCGCCAAAGGAGTACTACCCGAGTGGCAGGACGTTGTGGAGACTAAAGAAGGCGATGTATGGACTACGATCGAGTCCTAAAGCATAATGGCAAGATCACTTCGCCAAGACCATGAAAAACTTAGGACTACGGCGTCTCATCTCCGAGGCGAACGTCTGCGTCAATGCTACTTCGGATGTTTTCATGTGGACGACATCATGATCATTGGTGATCCTACGAAGGTGGACTACTCCTTCGAGCAAATCCAGCAGAGAATGCTGCTGAAGGATACTGGTGGACTACTAGAAGGTGAGACGCAAAGCTTTCTCGGACGTCTCATCACGAACTGTGGCAACTACATGGAGCTGAAACTTTCTGAAGGCTACATCGAGAGCATTCTAAAGGAGGCGAACATGGTCAACTGTAGCTCGACTACTACGCCAGGAACCTCTACCAACAAGCACTCCTTCGAGGACTCTGAGCCACTGTCTACAGAACAGCATCGTGCATACCAACGTGTAGTTGGAAAGCTACAGTGGTTGACGTATACCAGACCGGACATCTCCTACTCGACCAAGGAGCTGGCTAGAAGCCTACAACAACCAACTAGTCACAACTGGAAGAAGGCTGCTAAGCAGAACTACGTCCTTAAGCCTACGATCCAGCTCAAGGACAACAACGCTGCTATTCCCATGGATATCTACGTGGATGCGGACTGGGCTAGCTGTCCTATGACGAGGTAGATTTCCCAGTACATTTTGGCTCAAGGACGCAGGCTACGGTTGCATTGTCAAGTGCCGAGAGTGAGCTCTACGGCATCTGCACGGGTGTAAATGAAGGCCTACACCTACGCAACTTCTTGCAGGAATCGGGCGTCACTACCAAGGTGCAAGTCAGAGTCTACACAGACTCAACCGCAGGCAAGAGCATAGCTACGAGACAGGGTACAAGCAAGAAAGCTAAACACATAGACATACATTTTCTCTACACTCAAGCACTTGTGCGTGATGGCTGTATCAGCATAAGGTGCACACACTACAAAACGCAGCAGACATTTTCATCCTAATACACATCGCGCGAAACACTCAACCGACTGCTACATGCAATCGGCCTACAGCCTTAGCATCAAACAAGCAGCAACACGTGTCACCAGAATTCAGCTACAATCAGCATGAGCCGGCATACATACACACCGTTTAACAACATGCCTGTCGAGACCTACACGACGTGTTTCATACACACGTGCACGATCATGTACATCTTGTTTGGCAAGTTTGTTCTTTCTATTTTTTGGTCGTCTTTTGCATTAGCATGTTCGAGGCTACAAGGTGAGCTTTGCCATGTTGGTGACCTACGTTCTTCTTGGGACCCCTACTCCATGAAGTTTTTGCAAAGACAAGTGAAGGGATCCCTACAATCTTTGAATACTTTTGTGGTTGAATATCAACTACGCTTTCATCCTTGAAGTTCTGGTCTGCAGTCAAATCCACCGCATCGACTACTGCAGCCTTTTGTGATCTCTACGTTTTGCCCCGGCCTCTTTGGCTACTTGAAACACACGAGCATCATGGCCCTACGCATTGACCGCCACGAGATGCTGCATTTGCATCAGCTGGAGGCCTACCTGAACTCGCCTTCGGTGAATACGACGGCGTTAAAGGCTGGCTACACGCTGCTCACTGCTCCTGCGAACCATGTGGCCCTCTTCATGCTCACTGAGGAAGAGCACGCCACGTTCGATGAGATCGGCTATGCCAGTCTCGCTGGTGCCCTACGTGCCCCTCGATACGACAAGATCAACCTCTTCTACACCAGGGCGGAGGCGCTGGCATACTACATGTTCAAGATCTCGTCCGAGCGGGTCTACACCGAGAACCTGCAGCGCGCCTACCTGGTCGGACAACCTCATGCACTACTGTTCGTTCTTCGTCCGGAACTGGATCAGTCCGACCTACTACTTGGACGCCAACGAGGTCTACAACCTTCCGGCGTGCGAGATCGAGTTCGTCAGTGCCTACCGCATGGACTTTGACACTGCGCTGGTCACCTGGACCGACGGCAAGGCTTGGGACTACTGGTGCATCTACGACCTTCGGCAGCTGATAGGCATGGCACTTGCTACGCCTACGATGCGACCAATGAGCGGCGAGCACATGATGCGGCGGTGATGGGTGATGGCGCTACGCCACATTGCTGGCTACTACGGACTGGCCCGCCTGAGACTACGGTTGCCTACCTTCGAGGCAACCCTGTGTTGGTCTACCACCTCACTGGAGACAATGCGGAGCAGCCACCAGTGGATGTTCTCGAGGAAGACTGAGGCCTACATCTTGGCGAGAACCCCTACTGAGCTGTTTCTTGTGAATGGTGTACAGATGGCATCTACATGTTTGACTGTTTGAGTTACCCTTCATCAATTGCCAACTCAGTACATAGGAGCCCTACAAGTTTGCATCAATCCCTACAACTGCGGGATACGTGATGATGGCTACCCTCTTTCAATGTTTTGAGTAGCCATGAAAACTCTTCCTACTAATTCATTTGTGCCTCTACATGGATCTACTGTAGCAGTGCGGAAATACACTTCGGTTGCCCTACGTTCTTTCCGAGGGGGCGTGTCAAACTACATGTCTCCTATACAGTTCTCACTCACCCATGTACATGCCTGTGGCCCTACTGGCTCCAAAACCCTTGAGGATACCAGTCCTAGGGACTACAAAAAGGAGCCATACAGTGCCGCGCCAGTCAAGGCTACCTGAGGCCCTACTTGAGGTTCATTGGCCACTAAACTTTGAGCTCTAGTTTGACGATAGAGAGAGAGAGAGAGCGCGAGAGAGAGACTCAAAGAAGGGGACAAGAAGCGTGCTCCAAACTATGGTTCATATTCTGTATTTAAACTTTCGTCCTGGCTTTGCCGGACACCACTGGTAAAACGCCAGTTTAGGGGAACCCTGAGGCGATATAGCCATGGTCAAACTCCTTTTCTCTTTTCGAGGCTTCCTGAGTCAGTGACAGGGCAGTCCTCTGCAGGGAAGCAGGGAACAACAGTGGCCAGAAAAGCGGCGCACTGATTCCCGTCAGGGGGATCACAAACTGAGCAAACAGCTTCAAACCAAAGCACGTCGCTCCCAAAATCGCGCCTCTGCCCACCCGAGGACCTCAAGACCTCAAAATCCCGCCTTCACTCCTCGGGCTTTGCTGCGGAAGCGCGCCACGGTCTCCAGCTGCGCTTTGAGCGCAGCTCTGACCTCTTCCAGTGCCAGCGGCGCATCGAAGTACCTGAAAGAAGATGACGCGCTGGGGCGATGGGTAGGGAATGACCTTCCGGGTGGTGGGAGTAAACCTAGGGTTCCCTTACAGGAAGCCATAGCAAGATGTTTGAGAGAACTAAACTCCACCAACCCCTTGGTGCTCAATAGGCAATGATTCATGGTGTTGGGAATGAACTTAGGGAGTCCCTGACAGGAAACCATAGCAAGATGCTTGAGAGAACTAAGCTCCGCAGGCACGAGGGAGTGGCAATGAAATCAGAAGTCGCTCTCATCAAAGTGGCCAACACCCCAAGCATCACCAACATATACTGTGTGGATAACTTGGTCGACACCCGCAGCATCATCAGTGCTGTAGCGCAAAATGTCATCGCCATACTCGAAAAGGGCCCGCAAAACCTGGGTGGCTCAAATACCCGGCAAAAAAAGCCCTGCTGGTAATGCTGGGGATGTTGCTGCTGCTTCCTGCCGGTCCCGCCCGCGATGCTGGGGATGTGGAAAGGTCCCGGCTGCTAGTGGTCTTGCTAAACGCCAATGAGAGTATATTTTCCAGATAACACCCAATTCTTGGTTTGGATTCGAATCGGTTTGGAGGTGGTTCGGAAGGGGTTCAGAGTCTCCAAGCCCATCTCAAACACCAATGTAGGGTTGCCTGATTGAATGAAACTTCTAAAACCCTCTAGAACCCTGCGGCCCCCCCCCAAACCACCCCAGAGCCTACCTGGGCAGAGACCCCATAGCTTTCAGCAATTGATTCTGATTGGGGATGTCCCGTTTTGAGCTTCATCACTTTGGGTAATACCCCTCTGTTGATAGGAGGGGTTTGTTAGAGGGTCAACATTGGCATTCCCCTAGAGCTGAAAAGTTGCTTTTCTTGCCCACCCATTCTGAAGTTGGTCAGGAACGCAAAGGAGGAGGTCCCCTATTTTGACACATGGAAAAGGGCATCCCTCCGGCTGAAATCGACTCAGATAGGAAGCTGCTATGAAAATGGTTCCTTTTCTCCCTTGCTTAGTGCATGGCCGACGACAAAAGTAACCAAACATTTCGTTCGCCACTAAAATTGTCTTCCAGAAAATGACCAAAACTCCAGGAAATCAGGAAGTGAGTTGATTCCGCCAACCTGAAAGCGCCCAAATGCGCTTGCCAAGCCTTGGATACCCAGCCTCAACAGCAAAAGGATATGACGATGTCCCCAACCAGAACTCCTGGTAGCTCCTGTCAGCTCCGAGTGCGGCTCCCTTCCAACCAACTTCTACGTGAAACTTGCCAACCCAGCAAGAAACAGAACGAATTGATTACCCCCAACTGTCTGGCATTTCCCCATGTCCAAACTCCCGTTCCGGCTAACTTCTTCTCGCCGGCTTCTTTTTTCTCCGAATTTACGGCAAACCAAAAGCTAGGGTCACCCTTTGGTCGGTTTTTGTTTTTCCCTGGTCCTTCCCTGGATGTGTCTTCCCAGTCGCAGCATGCAGGAGATCTTCAAGGAAGCGGCGACGCGCCAGCTCTCCGCTTCGTAGGCCTGGCCCAGGAAGGCCCGGCTGATGCCGCGGGGCAGCACGCGCCTCGCCGCAGCGGCGCGGCGGTCGTGCGCCGTCGGAAGTAGCGGGGCGCCCGCCGCCCGGCGAAGCGTCGGCGCGTCGTTGTTTTTGTTTTTACCCAACCCAAAACGTTCAGGTGTCCATGGAGAAAAAGGGGCGCTGGTCGCGAAGCTTTCCGAGCACCGAATCGTTCTATCCCAAACAAGACCCTGAACACCTGCAAAACACCGTACAAGACCTTCTTCTTGGCAGTTGATAGTAAAGGGACATGTGCATGGGCCCGTTTTTTCTTGATGCTAAAGGGAAACTCCCAAACAAAGCAGCAAAGCGCAAAAACCTGGAATGGGGTTCACCAGCTTTCGTGGGAAAGCCATCAACCAAAACGGGACTCAGGGTGCCGAAAGGCTGGTCTATTCACCCCGCCGATTGAACACCAAACAAATGTTTTTTTTTGTTTTTTTTTTGTTTTTTTTGAGGGCACTTAGTGGTTTTAGAGGGAAACCAACATTTGGTCCCTATTTTAAGACACTATGGCGAAAACATGGCTCGCTCTTGTCACGTCGGTCCTGGCCGGACCTCTTGTTGCAAACATTTGCAACTTGTGACATGCCCACATCAACCAAAAGAACGGTGCCAACATGAATTCAAAGTAGAAACCGGTGGTTCCATGGTGACAACGAAAAGCAAACTGGACAGTGTGCGTGTGTTTGAACATGTCAGCGCTAGTCGTTTGACTGGCAGACTGGGGGTTCTTCAAAACGCAGGATCCCTAATCCTAATTGATAGTCCGTAGCAGGCAACTACGACAAGGGAACCACGCACATCTGACATAAGAATAAATAAGGGCGAACAGATCATAAATCACAAAACAAACAAATAGATCCCTATAATAGAAACCTTCATCGTGGGGGACATCGCAAACGCCCTAGTGGTGTTCTTGTAGATGCTGAAAGTCTGTCAACTTTCCAGTAGTCACCAAGCGGAATTAAGAAATCCACAAGAAAAACGAAACTCCCAAGCCGGAAAATAAGAAGGGGGAGGGTGTTCTTTGTTTTTTCCTGTATCGAGCAGAGGCCCTGGTCTGCCGCACAGAATCCTGAAATGGTCCGAACGCCTCCCCACATGCTGACCTGAAACAAGAATATTACGAGAGACTTGGCTGGGGAACTGTTTTTAACCTGAACAGCTGGCAACAACAAAACAAGTGAACATCCATGAAGCTCCTTTACCTGAGGCCTTCCACCAGATTAGTCCAGGGTCGACAATGACCTTTGAAGGTTCAACGAAAGAGCTACCAGGAGTACTGTTTTTGTCCAATGCTTCCCAAACCTGACCCAAGAGTTGGATCCCCAAGTAAAGGACCTATACATCATGGATTGTTCGATGCACTCCCCAATTGGTGGGATCCCTCAGCACCCATACAATGCGCAAAACATGCGTCAAACAGAGAGCGTCACGCTTCGCAACCGGGCCGCTGCTCGTCCATCGTGCTGACTAGCGCTCCGCTGCTCGGAGATGGTCGAACAAGGCTTGGTCGAAGTGACTCCAACCAGTTATCAGATTCTACAGTAGGTTGCTTTGAGAAATGCTCACCACTTTCCAACTTTCCAAAAGCGGAGAAGTGGTTCTTGGGGGCTGTATCAAAAGAGGCACAAAAGGGACAACACTGAAAAAGCATTGTGTAGGTCCATGGAATATGTTTGGCTCAAAGGTATCCAGGCGTGAGGAGTGAGGAGAAAGGTGTGTGTGTGTGTGCGCATTAAATATATATATATATATGTATCATGTATATGTATATGCATGATACATGTATGTGTATGCCTCTAGTTTCATTTCCAAAGCTGTGAACGAACCTCAGCTTTTGCCTGCAACCGAACACCTATCTTAGATTAAGAAGCAAGATGTTGCCAAATAGGTTTGTCTCAAAATAGGAACACTCCCAAACAAGGTTGGCTTGTTGGTTCCCTTTAACACCAATCAAACCGGGACTTTAACGTCCTTTTTACTTAAGCCTGAAAAAAGGTACCAATATGTCCAACAATGATATATTCCACTAAAAACAACAGGGGCAACATAACAATAAACAAAACATGTTCATTTCAGCAAATGGACTTCAAGAAAACAACCCACACAGACCCTGTCGAGCCAGATCCAAGAAATCATCGAAAGCCCTTCTCGGGCCTCTACCTTTGAGAAACTGACGATCCAAGCGCCAAATGAGCCAAAAGCAGAAACGAGACGCATGCCACTTCGACTCAAATGGCTGCTGTCAAAGATCAGGTAGCCCCCAAATGGCTTGCCCTGCCAAATGGAAAGGACTACACCCGTGGTCCGGTTTCTGTGGTTTAATTTTGACCCATACCCAAATTGGCAAGGGAAGCATGTTCCAAAACAAGAGGGGGAACCAACATTGGTCTGGGCGAATGACAAGAATTCACCTACGGCTGAACTTGAACAAGCCTCCAGTGGGTGATAAATAGAAACTCCGCAACCTGAAATGAGGTTCCCCATCTGTTCCATTGAAGCCCTATCCGGTGTGAGTGGTACACCCCAATAGGAAACAATTCAAATGTCCATGCAAGATGCGCGTATTTGGTAGACCCTAATTAACATTTCAAAGGTCAATGGGGAGATGCACGCAAGCATTAACGCTTAGGTTAATCCTTCTAAACGCGCCGTGAACCCTTCTTTGGACCCCCGAAACTAGCCAAGCCATCACACGCAAAAGCCATCCCTTGCCAAGCCTCTTTCAACATCACCTATGGCAGTTTTGGATGGTACTTCTTGGTCAGGGATGTGATTGTACCTCCAACATCACCTAGTCCAAGTTGGCCCAGAGGTACTTAGCCCACCCCACAAGAACAAATATAAGGACTCCTGTTCTATCAACGGCTTTAAACGGAATCCAAAAGGAAATCCCCACAAGGAAGCTATTAAGAAAAGCCAGTAAAGAAAAAGTGAACTTCCGAAAAGCAAATGTCCAATATGTTGTTGTCCAAAGAAAATGAGAATTATCGGGGTCAACAGCGAACCTGCAAGAACACGAGTTCGACCTAAACCCCGTCATCCACCCCGGCCCTATTTTTGACACCATCTCGTTTGTCCGGGCGAATTAAACAAATGACCTGTAAAAGGACCTCGAGCCCATCGAATTCCACTCGTTTCAGGGCTCAGGGGCCAATATATTACTCCAATAAGGTCCTCAAATCTGGTCTTGGTTGCTTCTCATAAAACCGGATAGCTCCTTTCCAGGAAGCTGGGTGAGTTTTGACCCAAACTCTGCGCATGCTTCTGAAGCAAACAATAAGGGCTCCGCCAGTCGAGCTCCTGCATAGAATGGATTTGGGTGAATCACCTCTTACAAAAAGAGCGTGTACATCTAATTGGAATGGGGTTGGGTACCAATAAACCAGATCACCTCATGGGAGAATCATGTTAAGCCCAGAATTATCAAGCTGAAGCTAGGAATCGGATCTGAGAGGCCGAAACGTGCAGTAGATTCTGAAGCTTGCTGAAGTGAGTGTTACCGAAGCGATGCAAGCCACCAAGTAGAGGCTTGGCACGACTGCGAGGCTCAATAAAGCGGTATTTATAACCTCCATCCAGAACCCAAACCTGAGTCCCCCGACATGGGGGAGGGTGTCCCCAAAATTTGAAAAATTGTCTTCATGGAAGGGAGAGGAACCATTTGAGCAAATGACAAAGATTCTTGATTTCCGACCCTCCCAATGGAACATGAAAGAGGGGTTCCCCTAGCATTGGGCTCGTTGGAAGGGAGTTGCACCTCAAAACAACTTCTCTGCCGCCAGGCTCAAAAGGCCTGCTTGCATGGCAAGGGAAGTGTCCCTCACATCCCCCCACCTTCTGGGGTCCCCAGTTTCATTCCTCTAGTCTTCTCCTGAGAAAGGAAAATGGGTTACCATACATGGAGATCCAGTTTTTTCTCCCCCTCAACCATTGAGTGGCTGGAACCCTCACCCTCGGGTTTGGACAAAGGCCCTAAAGCTTGGCCCTCCGGCCTCCCTCCATCCACCAATCCCCGCCTCTCGCTTTGCGGGGTCCTCCATGGTCCGCAGATCCCTGGCCATCGAAAAGAGACTGGACGGAAGTGGGGATCAGGTTGACCACATATTCATCAAGCCCAGTTGATTGATAGGGGGTGTCTCTGGGTTTAGTGGGGATTCATCACTTTTGGAGGGAACCCCCTACAAATCAACTGGGGTTGATTATTATGGAGGAGTCAACAGTAGTGGGGGGGAGCCATTGCAAGTCCTGGTGACTTTTAGTGATGGTCGCCTTCCGATCCATGTTTGTGGCTCCCAACAATCTTGAGGTAAGCCGATTTGGAATAACATATCATCGCAATAAACAAGTGGCACACAACACTTAGTTTTTAGTTGGTCCCTTGAAGTCCCTTGCCAAAAGTAAATGTTTAGTAGAATGCGTGCATCTGTGTTTTTAACAACTCGGAATACTGAACCTAAGGGCATGGCTAGAAACTGCCAACTTTGAATGTAAAAAATGTGTCAACACTCGACGAAATGGTTTGCAGTCTTGATCTCAAAGGACGAGGAGCTTCCAGGGGCGAGGCTAAGATCCCCTAGTTCAATGTCTACTTCAGGTCAAACATAGGGCTGTCCAACCATGACTTGTGCTAATCGGCGTCGCGCACAAAGCAAACAACCCACATTTTGACCACCAGAATGTGCAGGTGCTTTTGCCTTTTGGCTCATCTTAAGGATCTAGAGGACAACAAAGGGACTCCGCTGGGGCTCTACACTTTCAGGTGCGTTTGCTTTTTGGTGTATTTCCAAGCAGGGTCGAAAAGCAAACCTGCATCCCTAGTGACCTGGCTCGAGAAAGAATTGGAAGTCAACCCACCAAACCCAAAGAGAAGGGTGGAATCCAATTTGCTGGAAGGGCCGAAAGGGTGCCCTTGATTTTCCCTCCCTCAACAAGCGGGGGAGTCGTAACTCGTTTCCTAAGTGGGCTGGCTCCGAACCCAACAAGAATAAACATCCACGACTGGGCCGTCCTCAGATCCCCTGCTAAAAGTTTGACTCGTGGCTTAAATGCAAACCCAACCACTAAACCAACTAAAAAGCTAAAAACCTAAGCAACCGGATGGTTGGGCTTGCCACCAAGAGGAGCAGAAGGTCCGCACTTCAGGCGGATCAAAAAGAAGACGGCGGCGGCTCCGCTGCAGCCAGCTGGTGAGCCGATCCTTCAGAGCCTCCTGGGAGCCGACCAGACATACCAGGGTTTAAATGGGTGCGACTGCGGACATCAGAATTCAATGGGGATGCCGTTGTCCACCAATAATTTGAGAGGGAATTCCCTCTTAAAAACAAATCAGCCACATGACACCCCGGATGTTCAGCAGCTCGGTACGCCTACCTGAGTCTCAACCGAGACAAAACATGGGTACCTCCCACCCCACTACGGAACCCTCCAGAGAAATGCCCGCCCTTTTAGAGCAAAATGGTCGTACAGGACCCCCCCAGTCGCTAGGGCAATGTCTCATGTTGAGGGTACTGGCCACATGTTTGAAGTAGCAGGACTTCAGGTGAGGAAACCAAACAGGGTTGCGCCCATTCGGCCGAATCCATCGCAATGGAAAGTTGGCCGGTCTGGAGTCCTCCGTATCAAATTCCTAGTGGTTTGGCTGTGAGGACAATAGGAAGGAAGCCCATCAGCGCCCAAATCGCCCAAGAGTCTATGAGAGAATACGCAGGATACCTGTTGTCACGGTTGACTTGCAAGGGTTCCTCAAACTAAGGCCCACAACTCCTCCAAAGGCCAGGTTTACCCACTCTTGCTTCCCACGTCCACATCTGGGGAAACAAGAAAATAACATCTCCAAATCATGTTTCATATCTATTAGTCAACCCTAAGATGTAGGGTAGTTTTGGAGGAGACCTCAATAGACCCCGCAAACATCACTTGTGCACGAGGCCCAGCGAAAAGGATGTTGTTTTCCAAGCCATGTGAGCTGAAGGACAAGACCATGTCCCTCCCAAATGGACCATAAGCTATGGGAATTGGACCGAAGCTGCCATGTCTGCACAAGATACTATACTCCAACCCGGACAAGCAAGGGACCTTCATCGGGGGAGCTCCTCATAATTTGAGCAGATGTGTGCTGGTGGCTTCCATTTGCTTAAGTCCCCTGGAAAACAACTATTTTCAGATGCTTCCAGTAGTGATAGCTTCCCTTTAAACCCAACAGAGGAAAATGCAACATATTCATTTCAGCCAATGGAAGGTGGTGTAAAGGGTGCACACCAAGCATGGTCCACCGCAACAGCCCGTGGCTTGCTTCATCCAGTTGCTTCACCCTTTCAGCCAACTCCTGTGGGATAGCTTCACCATCCAAGCAAAACATGGAACCTGAAAGGGGCCCTGTCGTGACCGTTTTCCTCTGGCAGGGACCCCTTTCAGCAAATGATGGCTCGAATATCGCGGCACTGTCAAGGTGGTTGCCTCCTCACTTAAGGGTCAACATTGAAGCACAAGCCTCGCTCTTGACCATGGGCTAGTTGTACGTATATATTTTCACGAGGGTTACAAACCCCAATACATATTTCGCCCTTCTTCGCACCACCGCAAGAAGACTCACTTGAAACGAAGCGGCAACCAACAGGTGATGTGTAAATCCACCCAAATGGATTTAGGAGGCAGCTCTGTTCTAACCCAACAAAACAAAGGAGCGCATCTGTGCGAGTCGGTGGGCTCACAGGGATCAGCTTCCGCGCTTCCGCTCATGGCCTGCATCAACGATTTCCCAGCTGCGTCTCAGGAATCAAAGTAAGAACTTAAGTTTCGCGGTTTACGAGATTTATGCGATTCTATGCTGGGTACTAGAAAAGGGGGGTCTGAAAAATTCCCCCCCTGGTTTGGTGTGTGTGTGTGTCTCGCAATCAAGAATTGTCGCACATTTAGCACCCAGTTTTGGGTGTTAACCATGTCCAGAACGTTCAAGCCCGATCCCAGGAATGTGTTCCTTTCATCACCTTGGTCCCGCTGCCCATCCCTGAGCAAATTCGACCACCCGCTCCAGCGTCTTCAGTACTGCCTCGCCCGTCTCCTAAGGTCAGCGGATTGGGCTTCGGGTTCTCCAAATAGGAATCAGTCCGCATGGTGTCCTTTGCTTGCTGGTGCTCAGTAGGGAATGACCCAGGGTGTTGGGAATGAACCTAGGGATTCCCATTAAAGAAACCATGGGGATGGCTTATAGGGGTCATTCCCTCATTCCCTGCTGACCAGCAAGTTGTTTTCCCTAATACAACCAAACGGGCACCATGTTGAAAAACTCGCTGGGCAAAGTACGCGGAGCCCATGGATGTTGCGTCTGTTTTTTTGTGGCTCACAGTCAAACACTGAGTTCTTTCGCTGCAACTTTGTTTCTTACACGTGTTGGGTGCGTTGCAGGAAGAAGGACACTGGACACTACTTCGAGAGGCCTCGCCCGTTTGAAAACGTCTATAACCCGATCCTTTCTAGGCGAAGTAGGAATTGGTCTAAACCACTGGAAAAACCGATTGGCCCCCCACCTTCCTCCCTGGGAGTCAACTTTTCAGGCTTGTTGGCGAGCCGGATTCTGAAGGGTCGGTTCCGCAACCCAAAACCTCATGACCTTGTGTATGCCTCAAAGGGGATCTCGACGCAGTTTCCCGTTACCAGGCGAAGAGAGATTTTCTGCGAGCTAACTCGTTGGCCATAAGACTCAAAGGCCCTCCAGGACCAAAAGATGAGTTCTTTCGTCAGATCATGAAGATCCAAAGGGTCCCCGGGGTTCCATTCACTTCTTGGGCGAGCTATGGAATAGCTTCCATCACGGGTGTCTTTATGTGAAAGAAACCTGATTGTCCGGGAGCAAGCGATCGGAACCCCTTTTCTCGACCCAACTCTGGGATACACCAAACAAACAAGTTGTGTTCTGATTATGTTTCCTACTTCAACCTCAATCATGGGTGTGTCTCAAAATAGGGGACACCCCCCAAAAATGACGGTCTCTTTCTTTAGTTTCCCTTTCAACCAACCAGGGGTGCCCCTGAGAACCAAAAAACCAAGCTATGTGGGTCAATGTCCATCCCCAAATGGAAAGGACTAAACCTGCGGTCCCTGGTCTTCCATTTGGTTAAGGCCCCAGGAAAAACGAAAAAAAATGTCCAGTGGTGAAATCAAATCCTTTTAAAATCAACAAGGGGGGGGGGTGAAAACAAACAAAAACATATGTTTTTCAGCCAATGGCGGTGGTTTAGCTTTGACCCATGCCCATGCCTTTGGGAGAATCGAGGCCGCTGCCTTCGACTCAACCTGGCGAAGCGCCGAAGGCACGGGGTAACCCGCTGGGTGGCTCGTCTTTTGTTTTGGTCTTTTGGGCTGGGCTTCAGGAAACCAAAAGGAAACCCTCCTTGTCCGGTTTGGGGGGCTCAAATCTCGCAAAACAAAAGAAACACACCCAGCTGTGCTTTTTAAGTGAGATGGGAAGCCCTACTATACCGAGAAATTGAATAGCTGAGTTCTTCACTGGGTTTACTAGCTGAAGCAATTCTGAGTTACCCTCACCATGCATTTGCTCAAGTCCCCTGAAACAATTGAGGACATACTTGCAGTAGCGACAGATTCGCTTTAAAGCCAACAGGGAAAAACAAGGAATGTTCATTTCAGCAAATGGAAGTCACAAACACGGAGTCAGGTGGCACGCGAAGGGGCAACGTCAGGTCGCCACTTGGTTCAAAACTGCACATCCTGGTTGGTTTACAGCGCGGCCACACATTAACCACAAGAGAGTTCACCTTAAGGAAGATCACTCCATGGCAAATTCACCTGGACCTGTGAAACCAAATAAAAGAGGAAACCCTATGAACATTGGTGTGCCATGACTTTCGCGGTGGAACGCCCAGTGCTGCTGGTAGACCTCCAAGGTAATGTTGACCAACATGTCGTTCGCAGTATTGACCTTGACCAAGCCTTCCTCCATCCTGACCTCGACATCTCAGCATATCTGTCTCTCTCTCTCTCTCTCTCTCCTGCAGTATTTGTATTTTCCTGCGAGCTGGAACCATGATCCGGGTGAAACCTCGTGAAACCTCGGTGTAAACCGAATATTGACGCTCAGAAGGCGCGAAGTCACACGGTGGCTGCTAGGGCCAAGGGAGCAACCCATTCATCCTGCAGAGAAGTTCGGGGCCACTTAATGGAAGTCAACCAGAGGATTGGGGGAAACACATATGGGTATGGGTCAAACTGAAACCAGGGGACCGCATGTTTTAGTCCATGTTTCCATTTACCAGGGCCCCATTTTGGGCACCGATTTTTGACCCACAGCCATATCTAACCTGGGTTCTTTGACCCCTTGAAAGACCAACTTTGCTAGTCAAACATCTCTCCCAAAACTCCGAGTAACAATATCTTTTTCACCGTACTGGGAACTGAAGGGACCCCCTCGGGCTCCGGTTGGAAAAGAGCGGGGCCTTAAAGCGAATTACCAGCTGGATGACCTATGGGTTCCAACAAATGGGTGCCTTTCTTATGGTTGGACTCCCCAAAAAAGGCTTTGTTGTTCCTTTTAGTTTCTCTTAAAACCGCAAAAACAACGGGTCCAACTCAAAAACGACAGACCCAAGTGGGTTAGATGCTTTACACATGATTGTCCTTTTGGTGCAATCTGCAACCCATTTACCAGACCCGGGTGATCAAAAAAATGTTCTCCCAAGGACCCAAATGTATGCTTCGGAAACAGAGGGACTTTGCTCCGAAGCCCAAAACAAGTTCTTCCCGAAATTGGGGCACCACCCGTGCGTATAGTCCGGATTCATCTCCAATCGGCCAAAGGGGCCAGAAATCTTGCGAACACCCAAGTAACGGCAAAAACATAGACTCCCCCGCAGTTTCCTGCCATTCCAGCTCCTTGGGCCTAGTGTTTAGCAACTTACTCGCGGGAGTTCGGTTGCACAGGTCTCTCAAACAACTTGCTGGTGCTCAGGGAATGAGCTGGAATGACCCCGAGAAAAGCCATCCATCCTATGGTTTCCTTTCAGGAATCCCCAAAACCGTTCATTCAACCCAACACCCAAGCTATGTTCAACTAAATTCACCGGACAGGAGATCTAAGGCGCTGGCCCTTCATCGGTGGATAGAAACGGAACCATTTCGGGGCCCAAACTTCGAGATACTTGGAGAGTAGCCAAGTGGGCAGCGATGCAATGGAAGGGATGCCCGATCCAAACTGGCCACCCTTGGCTAGTCATGTGTTTCCCTGCTTTGTTCCCTGAACATTTGCCTTGTAGTGATAGATTCCCTTTAACATTATCAGGGATCAACAGGGGAAAATAGAAAACGTATTCCTAAGAAATGGCCGACTTCCCTGATATTCTACCAAATGGCTCTTACTTCTGGGTGGACGAAGCTCATGCCAGTCCTTGTGCTCCAGCAGTGTCACCACATCCTTGTGTCCGCGCTCCCTCGCGCAGTCCCATGCGGTTTTACCCACCTCAGAATTCGGGGCCGACGCTTTTTGACATTTGACTCCCCAGGCCATGCCTAGAGGGTCCCTGGGTACCCATTGCAGCTTCTTTTGAACGGGCAAAAGAGGGATGAAGCACCGAAGGCTACTGGACATTCTGCCCCACCATACCAAGATGAAACCTCCAGAAGGCGATACCATTTTTCCCAAGCTCTGAGTGAAAAGGACAGCCCTTCCCCATGCCGACGAAACTCAGCTAAACCAAGCAGCGACACCATAGAGCTCAGCTTTTCAACCAAAATCCACATTCTAGATTCTGAATGATTAGAGAGCCTTAACATGTAAAACTATGCAAATATTGACCCCAAACTAGCTGAAAGGAGGTCAGTTGCAGCTTTAGTTTCATAGTAAATGCAACAAGTTGTCCCATTTGGGATTAGTGATGTCCCATTTACCTACACAAAGGACCTTGCTTCGCAATCCTAAATGGTTTGTAACCCTAATGATCTCCTGAGAGGGGGTTCACTGGTCCACTGGCGGTTTCTTAGCAAAATGGGGTTTGATCAATACTCCTGGCCCCCAAATGACCATGGCCAACTTTTCCCATGTCTTCGGACCTTTTGAGCAACCCCCAAATGCTTAAAAAAAAGGAGAACCCCGAAATCGAGGGCAACAAGTTAAAATAGGAGAACCCCAACTGTCTGGTGATTGGACCCACCTCCATGTTGCTTGCTTGCTCGTTGTGGGTAAACGGTCATCTTCTCGTTTCTTCGTAGCCAAACTCCTGGTTTCCTTTCATTTGTTTTCACCTTAAGAAGGGAAAAAGAGAAAAGCAACTTCGACCTGGAGGCTTTCACCTTTCCCTTTCATTTGTTTTCACCTGGAGAGCCTCAAAAACAAAAAAAACGCCGACTCCAGGTCTAAGCTGAGCGCCCGGTTGCAGGCATTCGCGGAGGCGCCGTGCTGCAGTAGCAGCTTGGCTGCCTGGCTGCGGGCGACCCTCGTCGAAGTCGTGACCGTTTTGGGTGAATATATATATATATATAGCTGTTTAGGGGACACCCCCAAATAGTGGTGTTTCTTTTGATTTCCTGAAAAAAAGAGGGCACCCTCAAAAGAAGAAACACCCATACGGATGATCTCAATGAGTTTCTGTCAGGTGGAAAAGTGCAAAACTAAACAGACAAAAAGAAGCGGACAGTCATATAGAATCTTTTTAGTGCCCCCTAAACATGCTGGCTGCAGCCTTCAATCGAAGGGTCCAAAGGGTTGCTTTCTTGGCGCCTCTGGAAAGCATAAGGAAAAAACACATAGCTTTCCGTTTGGGGAACAAAACAAATGCCACCTAAGACTCGGATTGGCCGCCTACCGAGATCCGCCTGGTAGTCTCCTGCCCGCGCCGCGAGATGCAGGGCAGACTCCCCACGCAGGTCCTGAGAGCCGGGTGAACATGTGGCTGCTCCCAAAAAATGAACACCCTCGGCCCTCGGTATATGGCTGTGGGTCAAAAATAGGTACCCCAAATGGAATCCTGCTACCTGGAGACATGGACTAAAACCTGCGGTAACCCTGGCTCTTTAATTTCGAGCCACACCCATGTGGCACATCCAGTGAAT